TTCTGCCCTGAATTATGTTGATTGTAACCTTGCCATAGATCTTATAAAAACATGGGGAATCACTTGATAAAAGCTCTGATTAAGTGTGAGATTGTGCTTACAAAGTAGTCATGTTCTAGTATTCATGGCACGGACAGTGAAATAGTATATGGCAATATAGCACTGCCATTCAGGAAGTGCCAAAACGTGAACAGGTAAGTAGCTCTCATCAAACAAAGAAAAACTTCAGATATTTGTCTTGGTGACATCCGCTGCTGACTGCAACGTCGTTAGCAGCTTTAGGTGAACCACAAGTCATTCTGTGGTTAGTTTACAGAACTACTCTGTTATTCTGCAAGTACATTGCTACTGATTTTCAAAGTGCATCTTATGTGCACGAGTATTGTAAGAAACAACTTTCATTTCATAAAAATGTTGGAGCCTGGTTCTGAGAAGTTTGATTCGCTCTGCTTACCCTTTTATCTTTACCATGGTAGCAGCACTATTAACCTTCAGGAGTTAACAGTTTTCTTTTTGATCCACCAAAATATGACTTTTTTCCCCCCTTGTTAAAAATGGATTCTCAGAGCTATTGTTTAGGAAATGTTTTCAAGTATAGTAAATTGACTAAATATGGTGTGGCCGGCATGTCGTTGCCAGCCAGCTTGGGACAGTTGTTCTTGGAACTGATGCCAGAATTCTTAAACACAAATTTGGAAAGTCTGGTATTTGATGAGAGCTGATGTGTGGGATGCAGACATTCAGCTGTTGCGCTGAAGAGCTGAAGTAGCCTTGCTGAGTGTGACATTGATTAAATCCTCTGGACTGTTTCAAACGAATTTTAAAATTCTCATACGTGGAGACAATTGGGCCAAGGTCCCGAAAAGAGCTGAGTGCTATTTCACGCGTGAGCTCTGTCTGAAGAATGCCAGCATTCAGTAGAAGCTGCTTGTTGAGATCTTTTTACTGTAAGTTGCCTGTGTTTTCCGTAACAGTCGATGTGCTGTTGAGTATGCTTTGCTGTCATGTTTTTGCATTTCATGCTTGTTGGACGACTGAAAAAGCGTGGGCTCCCTGATTGTGGCATATTACTGCTTTTCTGGCCATGAAAGTCTTTTGAAAGTGCATCTTCCTGCTGTTGAAGAGTTACTGTAAAAACAGCTGGCGGATTGAAAAGTGATTCAGTCTCTCCGCGGTCTGATGGTTGAGGTAATCCTTCTCTTTGAAAGGGCTGTAAACGCTAGCTGGAACAACCTTGGGCTGAGAGGGTGCAAACATCCAGGTCAGAACAGTTCTGCAAGATAGTAGCGTTAGCTGCGACAGGATGAGTTCTCAGTAAATAAATCATCAGGGAAATACCTTTTTTTCTGTGGGTGGGTGGTTAATTTGCTAGTGGTGGTGGAGGGATCTCTCACCGTTCACGATACGAAGAGCTATATCGGGCAAAGCGTCTGAATGCCTTGTAAAGGGATGTGCCTGCACTGGGAGTGGTGCTTCCCTCCCCAAACTTGTCTTTGCTTACAGCCGTGGAGAGTTGTGGCTCCCGCAGCACAGCCCTCACTCCATTCACTTGCTCTGGGTACTTGCGGGCTTCCTCTTCACCAACTTCAGGATGTTTTCTAGATACTTCCCTTTCTTTCAAATGCTGATGGCAGTGATAATTTTGTATTTCTGTACTTTGGAGGGCATGGGAACGGGAGGTATGAGAAAATAAAAGGAAAATTTAATTTAGAAGTGCTTTGGCCAGCTCCATAACTATACTTTAAAAACAGTCTCAAGGTTTATTTTCCTGACTCCGTTACAATTACCAATAAAATTGTTGATAATAGTTATCATCTGGAGGTCGATAATTGGTAGATCAGTGATCCAGGGTATGTTTTCCAGGCAGATGTTAATTCCCAAGAGCTATCCCATGCTGGCAGCCGTGGTGGTGGTGGTTTTAGCAAGTCTGGTTGTATGCTTACTGCAAGCAAGGCAGTAAGCAGACAGTTTCTGTTTTGGGAGTATGTATATATCTATAGATAGATACTTTTATATTTTTGTGTGTGTGTGTATATATATATATGTGTGTGTGCGCACATGTACATATATCTATGTATGCATAAAAAATGTGTAACTTTGCAGCAAATGAAATCTTTCGACATTTCTTGAGCAGCTTCTTAAGTGCTGCATGAAGACAGGTTTTGTGATGTGACCTGGTGATGAGGGCTGCTGGCCCGGTTCTTTTCTAGCTGTTAATATTTATTAACTCTCCATAAATACCCCTGTAGGTGTGAGTTTGTTGACCCCATGTGTAATGGAGGTAAAGCTTGCCTCACCTCGCCGAGGCGCGCGTGGTTAATGTGAAATACTTTGAACTTTTGAGCATCTGGTAAATGCCAAGAATGGTCTTTGTCAAAATGGGCTCAGCCCCTTTAAGTTTTGTTGTTCTGGGCAAGAGATCTGGTGTACCAGTGAAAGTCAGAGCTGGCAGGAAAGGGAATTGGTGTTTGGATCTGTTACACTTGGGGGCCCGTTTCTATTACTGGAGGTACCTGGTGTGTGTTTTAGGAGCGATGTGTACCAGAAACGTTTTGACATTCACCACAGGTGGAAGGGGGAGAATCTCCTTTCTGCCTCAGCACACAGAGGAATACTTTGTGCTCCCAGCATCTGGACAGACAGACAGTGATCTCATTTCAGTGTTTATTTTTATCCGGTTTTATCATCGTTAGCTTTATTGGACAGTGAGGAAGAGAAGGTAATGACTTACTTCAGTCTGATCCGTGAAAGAACTTGCTTTAGTTATGAATAGGGGATTTCTGGACGCTAAGGAGGAGCAAAGCTGGCTATATGAATGAATCAGATTTCCAACCTCGGAATGTTATCAATAGATATACATGAGAAAAGTGTATGGATTGATTCAGTCGGCTGTGCCTGATCTGTAATTAGCTAATTATCTCTTGATACTCTTTATTTCCATTTTGCTATCTTTACGAGATCCTGCTTTATTTGTAAAGTCTTCAGCCTGTAATTATATATGGAACTTGTATGCCATATTTCTGTTGCTTTATAAGTTTGAATGTGGTGATGCTGCAAGATTCAGCGTCAGTAGTTGTAGTTGCTATTCAGGGTAGACTCCCATCTGACTTCAGTGGTTTCTTTTCCAGCAAAGACAGTGCTGTTATGTTGCATAACAGCAGGCAAATTCTTGGACCTCTGATGCATACAGAAGCAGAACAAACTCTATGGCTGCATTTACTGTTTTCTACATCTTTAATAAAGACTTTTTGTATGTTGTCTGTGATGTTCGTGATTTGATTTTCCATGAGCCAGCTGCAAAATCATTGAAGTTACCGTGAAAGAAATACAATTTTAGGCTTTGTATTTCCTCATTCCCTCCTCCCCCCCCCACCCCCCCCAATCTAGGCTTAATATTCAATAAAGACGGCAAGAGAATCTTCTTTACTGTTTGTGACCGTCTTTTAAAAAGTGCAGGCTTGTAAAGCACAGTATTACTCGTCTCATTTTTATGTTTCGCTGTTTCGCAGGACACCTCCAAGTGGGCTATAGAAGAATGTATAGTAAGCATGCGTATTCTGAGTAATCAAGTTGTTTCAAAACTTGTTCTCTTAAATATGCCCTTTCTGTGCATAATATCACTTAATGAATTTAGGCATCTGCCGTGCCAGCACATAAGAAAATAATTTTTTTCTCATTGATTAAAAGCTATCATCCATTTACTTTGAGGCAGATAACCATGTGCCACTTACAAATGCTATTGATCAGTATCAATGCTAATGGTTAGGACACTGTTTGTATGAACACTAATAAAATCTTTATGGTAAAGAATCTTGATCTGCTGAAGCGCTACGAACAATGTAGTCTTTCATAATTTGTTCATTTAGTTTCCCAAGGTATTACATAGCACCTGTAAGATTCCTTAAGAACATGAGTCAGTAAGCCTTATCTCTCAGGAAAAAAATTGACATTTGAGGGTGTTTTCATGCAGAAGTCAAAGCAATTGATTCTGAAGTGGCCGTGTGTTTGCTGCCCTTGGTAGTAGCATCTTTGCTGTAGAGTCAAACTGTAGGACATCTTCCTTGTAGTCAAAGTGCTGAGAAGTGAACATGGATTTCAGCCTTAATGCTCTTAAGGTTAGGCCTGCCTCACCTTCCGGCTGAATCTCTGTGGTATTCTGCTGCTTACTGACCTTGCAGATCGAGTAAGAGTGTTTCTTTTTTTTTTTTTTCCCCCCCTAGGTTTAAAATATAACTTAGTTCACAGTAACCCAAAGGATAGACATTGCATGAAACTACAGCCAATTTCTGAGTAAGGGAAAAAGTGTGGATAAACAGAAAATCTATCCAAATCGGGCTATGTCTGGTTCTGGAGCCATTCTAGGTATTATGCTACTGCTTCATAGTTACATCATTACTCATCTGGTTGCTTCTTAAGTGAAAGTGTTGCCTTTCTGTATGAGTCATCTTTGCCTGCTCTGAGATCAGCAGGAATTAAAAAAAAATTGTTAGCCTCTTGGAGATATTGTCTGTAGCGTTGTGCAAACTCCTTTTCACAATCTGAAATTGAAAGCCTGAACAGTGATGGCCATTTGAATTCACTCTGCTTTTCTTAGGTCTTGGAACTGCTGGTGTGACTTAAGAGTCACAGGGTTCAAACAACTCATTGGGAACATTTTGATCTTGCTCTCCTTGCTGCTTAGGTAGTAATGCTTCTAATACATACGAAGTTGTAAAGGCAAGTGGCAAGATGGTGAGCCAAGGACCATAAGTTATCATGAGCTGGTGGAATGCCTAGAGCTGATAACGATGTTGTGATTAACTAATCTTTGAGAATGGGGGGAAACCTAAAGGCACAGTATGCTTCTTGTTAAGGTTTTCTTGTCTGTTTTGAATATGTAAATATTTTTAGATCTAAAGGCTTGGGGTTGGCTGGATTTCTCATAGAAGGCTGATCTGAAGAAACAGAGAGAGAATCCAACCCGTTCTTGTACTGATCTGTTTTCTTTGGTTTTATTTTAGTTTGCAAGTATGCCTGCCACAGGAAATGTGAAGAGAAGGTAAGCATGTTCACTTCCCTGCGTGATGATGAGCTGCATGCATTTGAGGTTTAGACTGCAAAACCTGTGTCAACTAATTAAAAAGACTATTAAATCAAATGCCTAGCTGTCAAAAAAGAACAATTTGGGGGG